AGGGGTAAGGGTCTAGCAGAATAACGATCAATGGGTTCCAGTATTGGCTCGGGAGTGAACTCAGCCAGACTCTCTTCATCCTCATCTTCTGAGCCTGTAATAATAATAATTATGATAGTTATACCTGAGGTTGTTTCATCTTATACCTTCTTCTTTCTCGTATTGCAATTGTTCGAAAGCTTCGTCGAGTGTCTTTATTCCTGACTTGTATGCATTTGATATTCTTTTCTTAACTTCTTCTTGCTTCTCTTCCTTTGCCTTCTCCTATAATACATGTACATGTACACATCCATACAATCAGATGCACTACAACTACATATTAATGTACATGTACATCTATAACCATAAATGAGAGTACTACATGTATATGTACATGTACATGTACACATCCATACAATCAGATATATTAAGTGTACATCTATAACCATATAATAAGAGTACTACATGTACATGTATGTATAATGTATATCTTTATTGACATGTATACATTAATGTACATGTACTCACTTCGTCTTCTTTCTTTTGTTCTTCATTCTCAGCCTCTGGCTCATTGTTCTCCTCAAAGACTCGCTAACAATGAGAACACATGCATCAAATGCATTGGACAATAGTATACATGTACATTGACAAGGTATTATTTATTGATCTCTTACGTTCTCCACAAATTGAATATTTGAGAGTATTAAGAAGTCGTTGATCATGTTGTTCATTCTTGTTCCGGTTCCTTTCGTCTCGTCAACCAGGGTGTCAACCTGTTTCTCAATCTCGTGCGTACGAGTTCTTATGTGTTGAGAGAACTCCTTGAGAAACAAGAGCATCTGAAGAAAGAGAAAGAGAGAGAGAGAGAGAGAGAGAGAGAAAAGGAAAAGACAGAAACAGATAAAACACGTACAATAATAAAGACATATACGTGTATATACATGTACATGTATATTATGTAAAATAAGATAGTTTTAATGTCATTTGTACAGTGACTTACCCCAGCATCAGAGGCTAGTGTCCAGTCTCTACTCCCTTCCTTCATTTCTGCTATACTCCATGGTCTCTCCCATACCTTACCACTAGCAGGTGGAGCACCTTCAACTGGTTTACTAGCCGGCTTCTCCTCCATTGATGGAGCTAGAGAGAGAGAGAGAGAGAGAAAGATTTAAAATGAAAGACAGGTGTGACGTACCATATGTTGCTTAATAAAGAGAACACAAACATTTAAAAGTATCATAAATATTTCCATAACAATTTTAGTTTCAATTTGCAGAGATAAGGCAAGGAGAGAGAAAGAGATAAGCTTAGCTTCAAGAGCTATAAAGTGAAGATAAAGGAGAGTCTATTCATCTGATTTTCAGGAGAAAAAGTTAGTTAACACATACATGTACACGTACATGTTTTAATTGCTCTGTATCTGTATAGAACTAATGCAATTTTGAACTAATTTCCAGTCAAAAAACAACAAAATTGTGGCATAAAAATAATACAAACTGCATTAATTATATTCATATCCCTCCTATTAGTCCCATAGTGTTACCTGCTGGCTCTGAAGTGTCTTCTATTAGTCCACCACTCACAACAGGAGGAGGAGGAGGAGGAGGGGGAGGAGGAGGAGGAGGGGGAGAGCTCTCCATTACTGGTGGAGGGGGAGGAGGAGGAGGAGGAGGGGGAGGGGGAGGAGGAGGAGGAGGGGGAGCAGACATCTTTGACTACAATAGATGAATGAAAAGCACAACCAGAGGTTAGCATTACTTACTTATCTATTATATGTAGTACTATTTATTGAGAATTTAACTTCTTTTCAGTTGCAATGAGCTTCCATCACATGATACATGTCTCGCCTATTCTGCAAATTAAGTAACCACGCCTATTAATCAACGTGACCTAAACCACACCTACTCTCTGCAGTCTTCAAGGGTGTGGCTGGAAAGATGGAAGGAGTAAAAGAACAGTACGTTAACAAGGAACACGAGAAAGGGAGAGTAGATGTAACTGTTGCAGAAGACTTTCATGACCTTTCTTTGGAGCATCAACCCCTTGGAACACTTTGCAGTCCAATAAAAGTAGAAAAATATTATAATTTATTATCATTTTAATATTTTGTGTTTCCAGGACCCAGCACAATGGTCCTCGTATGCATTGAGTCAAGAGCAGGTTGATCAGTATTGGAGGGATGGGTATCTTTCAGGTATACGAGTACTGACTGATGAACAATGTGAACTCATCCTCAATGACTATCAGATCTTTTTGGTAAGAGACGCATTGACAATAGTGTATATAATTGCTATGGGCATGCAGATATGCCCTATTAATTTGTAATATATAGTCCCTGTTAAGTAAAGTGTTTTATTTATGTTTTAATTTTTTTAGGATAAAGAGAAGGTTCATCCAGGTCATGGTCTTTTCTATGAGTTTCATCGCAATCAAAGTGGACTCTCTGACAATGTACTCCTCCACGCACTTGGACAATGGAGGATCACAAAAGCCTTCCATGACATCTGTTTCCTCCCTCAAATATCAGTAAGGAAAGCATACGCTCAGTACTATGTAGTATGCATGCACAATGTAATGTACCAATAATGTATTTTATTTTTAAAATTATTGTGTCAATGCAATGTGTCAATATTTACTCTTGGTAATACTAATATACTAGTATTAGTTTTGCTGCATTGGAGGTTGTATGTGTTCATCTATTCTGATGTTCTTATTATTTAGGTTCCCAGTTCCCAGTTGATTGATCCTGATAATAAAGGAGGGCAGGTCCCCATTAGACTCTGGCATGATCAACTCTTTTCCAAGCCTCCAAAGCATGGTGGGGTTGTTGCTTGGTGGGTATAATTAATGCAATTAATATACACATTGAAATTCACTATTTACTATGCATACTTAGGCATCAGGACTATAGTTATTGGACACGGACTAAACCAATGAAACACTTAACTGTGAGTTATTGCGTAGTTCTGTTGCTATGGGTGTGGCTTGTTGCTATGTAGATACATATTGCTCTCGATGATCAGACCCCAGAAACAGGCGGATTACATTTTGTACCTGAATCACACAGGTGCATACATGATTGTCAAAAAGAAAGACAATAATTTCAATAATAATTTGATAATTATAGGTGGAGTAGAAATGGGAACCCATTGCCAATCACTGATGCTACTTTTGGTGACATGGAGTCATTGAAAAAGGTTTGGGTGTAGTTTTTGTACATAGGGTTATGTAAGTTTTTAAACCTATAAGGTGCTGACAGAAGAAGAGTTTGCTCAATTCAAACCAGTTCCTTCTGGTTTAAAGAGAGGACATGCTAGCTTCCATCATCCTTTAATGGTGCATGGATCATACGCTAACAAGTGAATTATTATTTTATTCTAAAGACGTTGCATTCTCACTTGTTACGTGACACTAAGTTGAATTAGTTGATACAATTTGACAAATTGTTATTATTTTATTGTAGGTCAGAGAGGCCAAGGAGAGCATGTGTTGTTAATTATATTGCTGATGGAGTTTGGTCTGATACTAACGAACCTTTGCTTAATGGGGTTCCTCTCATTGAAAAGGTAGTAATATGTATTTGCATTAATTTGAAGCTCTTTTTATAGGGTAATAAAATGGAAGGACAGTTTTTTCCTCTTGTTTTTGATCCAAAATGGGCAAGTCCTGTTTAAAGATTTAACAAAAGAACTATACGTGCTAATTATATTCTTGTTTATAAAGAACACGCGCTGTTTTTATAATTAATTAGATCTATTATTAATATTAATGAACAGAAAGGCGCGGCTTGATATCGCATGATATATGATTTTATGATGCGGATGGGGCTATTACAGCAAGTTTTTCTTTTTTGATATAATAGCAGAACTCCATTACTTCAGAAGCCACCGAAATGGGGAAAATAATACTTTCAATTGCAATAAATGTATTCTTTCTTATGAACACTTATGGTAAGGGCTTAATTTACAATAACACTCTTTTATAATGTTTATAGTTTCAGGCAGCATCTCCTTCACTATTGCACCAGAGACACAATATGTATATGTCAATGATACTGTGACATTTGAATGTGCTACTAATGTGACTCTTTATCATCTCTCTTTTGTGACTAATCCATCAGTTGTTGGTTCAGAATTATCCTCTGGTGGAATGGCATCACTCAGCCTAAGAGCAACAAGTGAAGTAAATGGCACAGAAGTTACCTGTAACGCACCCAATGGACCTACCACTGAACCAGCATATCTATATGTACAAGGTCAGTGTAATGATTAATAAAGTTATTTAAACATTCATTTAGCCTGCATTGTTGTTGTTTAACTTATATATTATATACATTAGGGTGAAAAATCTACTATTGTGTTTGACGTCATGTTTTTTTATTGACAGGTCCACCTGATAGTGTCAGTAGTTTAACAGGATATCAGTTAGATTCTTGTTGTATGTTTATCAGATGGTATCCTCCATTCACACTACCAGGACTAACAGTACAGTATATAATCAGTGTAGGAACTGATCAACAGTACCTTAATGACTCTATCACTAACTACACTTACTGTCCAATGAACCCAACCAATAAACAATATCTGTTTAACATTAAAACTACTAATAAAGCTGGGAATGGATCCACTAGTAACATAACTGTTGGATTTCAATCAACAAGTAAGTAATTATACTTATTGAGAGCCTAAAGTGATTATTCTATACAGTAGATGTGCAGTTATATGTAACTGATAAGGAAAGAGGGAATGTAAATTGGACTTTTCATTTCATTGTATCAGTAAGTTCCCTAATAGGATTAATGATAGCCAGCTATGATAACTTTATAGTAATAGTGAATAGTAGTGTTAAATGATGATAGACAGACTATAGTATTATAATGTATTATAGGTAATGTGTAATAAATGTACCATGTATTATAATGTATAGTCTATATTGTACTTAATAATGATATCCCATGGTGTGTTTACTGTGTTGGAATTACTCACTTAAGAAAACATTTTTTTTAGGTTCATCAGTTTTGTACTAATGTACCACCACTAATGAACATTACATTGAAAGGATGTACTAAGGATAACTGTTATTC